AGGAACCCTTTTTTACTCTCCACACTTTGAGAGGCCATAATGTGACTTTTCCAGCACAAAATATACAAAGTGAAGAAAAAAAAAAGGGGGCCATCTATCATGCTATCTTTGCTAGACTCAACAAAGCTCTGAGTGCTGATCTCTGCGCTCACTATACCAGTCACTGGGAATATAGTCCTGATAGAAAGGATGGACCATCTGTGATCATAGCCATCCTAGGTAGTCTGAGAATCAGAATCAGCCTAGAGAGATGTTTAGAATACAGCCCCCTGAATCCTAACCCCGGAGATGTACATTCAACAGGTTGGATGGCCCAATCGGAATGAGATTCAAGTATACAGCCGGTTTCTGATCCACTGATTTTAGAGGGATCCACTGATATTTTACAATCTGAAAATAATTTACAATCTGAAACATTCCTCTTAAAAATACTGAGTAACTGGCCTCCCCGGTGGCGCAGTGGGTTGAGTGCAGCGCTGTGAAGCTGTCTGCAGCCTCTGCAGCGCAGGTTCGATTCCCAGCCAGCCAGGGAGATACCCACATGGCGGAGCAGATGTCTCCTGTCTCCCCCGCTGCTCCCCTCAGCAGTGTATTTTGGTCTGTCTGCCTGTTCTGCTCCCTGCTCTGTCTCTGGTGAATCCTCTCACCCTCCCTCGCCTCTGGCATGTACCCCAGTTCTTGTACAAAAATAAATAAATCTTAAAAAAAAGAACTGAAAAAAAACTCCACAAAACTGAGTAACTGAGGAAAATATGAGCCAATCTGAAATATCAAAACATCATCAAGAAAGCATGGCATTACTATGCAGTTTCCACACACACAAAAAAATTCTATACTATGAAAGCAATCATTCAATGAAAAACCAGAAGTGCCCAAATGATACTACAGTCACTCTGTGACAGCTCAAATGGAAATCCTGGTTCATCATTAACTTTGCTAACAAAAAAGTACATGGTCTCTTATTACTCTGGATATTAAGCTGCTCACCAGTTCAGAATAATACAGTAGTTAGCCCTTATTTGTGGGGGATATGTTCCAAGACCCCTGGTGGATGCCTGAAATGGTGACAAGTACAGAACCCTATATATACGATGTTTTTTCTTACAGGCAAAAAGTATTCCTACATTTCCTATAGAAACATATTAGTAAAATTTAATGTATAATTAGACACAGTAAGAGTAACAACAACACAATAAAACAAGTATAACAATACACTGTAACGAACATTATGTGAACATGGTTTCTCGCTCTCAAAATATCTTATTGCATGTAATATTTTCAGAACCAAGTTGACTGTGGGAACTGAACTGAAGATACCGAATCCTGGATAAGGAGACCCTACATTTTAACACCAACATTAACAGAATTACAAGCTTTGCTGCCATTGTAAGGGCCTTCCCTGTCCTGGCAGCAATGGTTTTAAAGGAACTGCCTGTTGGATCTTGCATCAATTGCTCATTTGTTCATAAAAGTCACCGTTGAATACCAGCAACTCACTAAAGACAGCTCACACATTTTCAGCAACTTTATCAAAACATAATACAACTTCTCCCATGGCAGGTGTGGGTTCTTCCTAACATGGTAATAACAGACTTAGATGGCCCCTGAGAAAAACTCTGAATTTGAAAGATCTCTTTTTATTGTTCTAAACTGTGGAAAAGGAGCATGTAAGAATTGGTCTTCTGAAATTATGGGGACATCAAAAATGATACCAAAATACTTTTTTCCTGTTACAACACCTGTCCCCAAAGGCAGAATAAACACTGGCAGCACTAAGAATGGTTACTCCAGGGCCTCACGCAATGCCTTCTTCCACTTCATCCAGTTGCCAACACCACACACCCATTCCTCTATAAAGCTCCTGTTTATTCTATCAGTCTTCTTGGCTGCTGCCTCAAAGAGGGAACTCCTTCCACATTTCCCAGCTGAATCCCTCCTCAGCACTTAGCCCTCCTCTTTATGTCAGAACTCTCTTCTGTCTTAGAGTTTTAATATTTCCCTAGCCACTAGAGGGACCACAGCCTCCCCAGTCAGTGGCTTCTTTAGTCGTATCTCCTACTTAGACACAGAGGCAATCTCAGTATGTGAATCCTGTATTCACAACTTCTCATTACGAGTTTGGAGTTACCACTCTCCCCTTGTCATTCAACAAGTATCTTATTAGAACACATTATGTGTGCTAGGTACTGGTAGAGAAAAGGGTAGAATAAGATTTTAAGAGACTGCCTGCCTCCCACCAACATACTGACATTCTAAGAGACAGAGGAAGATAAAATCATCTCTATAAAGTGTGCTGAAACTGAGTGAAACACTTCTGGAAGACAGACTCCATGAGGGAGTGGCCTTTCTGCCCAAGAAAGTCCTGGAAGAAGCAATAATTGGGCCTTAAACCAAACAGTAGCTATTTTCATATCCCTATTTTTGTTCTCATTCCCTTTCAATCCATTCTGCCCATCAGCCCTCTAGAGAACCACCTCGTCACACCACTTTGATGCAGGTTCCCACTGACACAGCAAGGGCAGGAGCATATATCCTGGGATGTACCTCAGGGACTGAAGTTCTCTGAGGCAGTACTGACCTTACTTTGCACAAGGCTCATCTATATGCAGGCATACCAAGCTCTGGCCAATGGACATTATGTAGTACATTCCAGACAGTCTGGAATTTCCTGCTTCTGGCCTTGCTCATGTCACTCCTATTGCCAACCTGGGGCCAGCAAATATGGCTGTCCAGTGCACAAAGCATGCAGCTGCACATGGCAGCCCTGTCTATCCCCATCAAAATATTTCCCATTTTAGGGGCTTATAGGTGACTTTAAAAAAGCATATTCCACACTGTATCATACATCTGAAAAATTTTACACACAGGAAGAATAATCCATTTCACTCTTCATAATAGACTAACATGAATATTCAGGCTGTCTAATCGTTTCTCTAAGAAGCCTTCTCTGAATTACTCATCAAGAAGCAATCTGGGCTCCTCCTTACTCCTAACTTGGACTGTTTTGCAACTATAGACACATACCTTCCTATAGCTATCACTGTAGCTTTATCTCATATCTATTATCTGCAAGGCACTAGATGAAGGTCTTTACCCATGTTGCTTCATTTAATCCTCACTGGGAACCCATAAGGTTGCTATCACCAACCCCATATTATAACAAAGGAAACTGAAATTGGAAAACTTACTCAAGGCAAAGAACTAAGCCATGGTTCTTCCCAGTATAAATTTAAATCCAGTCTAGTCTAGTTTCAAAATCCATAAGTCTAAAATACTTGGAAATTGGCTAAAGCTATTTTCCAATACTAGTCACTAAGACTTTGAAGCAGGGAGACAGTATCTTAGTCATTCCTGCATTCACTCTAATGCCTACCCAGGAGCTCACCCAGAAGTAGAAATTCAAAAAAACTTTTTATGATTACATGAAAGAGATATTTCTTGCGGGAAATGATGGGATGGTGATTATGATGGTGTGACTCTCAAAAAACAACTGACCTTCTGACAGCAAGCCCACAGGTTCTAGCTTTAAAATTTATCACAAAAGTGGGCTTCCCCAGCTCTACTGACCAGCCTTAGTCTAATATCATCTCATGCCTCTGAACTAGTCTCCCACAATCTAGTCTCAGCAAATCAACCAGTGAAGTGGATTGTGTTACACGCTTCTTACTCTGGCATGTACATGGCTATGCATGATTAAAGTAAAGGCCAGAACTATCTAGTCTCTACGCCCTTTCATTAACTACCCTCCATTCATACTGGCCTTCTTTAAAGCTGTGTACCAGCTCTTCCCTTTGTATGACATGCTCTTATTCTACAATACTGCAATGGTGACTCCTTCTACAACTTAGCAATCAGGTCTCCCAGGTCACTTCCCCTGTTCTTGCTTCACTACTCTATCTACAAAAGGACTCCATGTTATTCTCCATCTCATGCTTGCATTTATAGTGAGGACTATGAGGAAACAACTTGCAAATATTTTTAAAATATGTCTAGTTAGTTTTGTCCCTCTCTCCAGCTACACCATAAACTCCATGGAGGTAGGAATCATTATTACACCCCCAGAGACTGACAGGCTGTGCACTCAAATACTTCTAACTGCACCAAACTAGGTATAACCCAAGTTCTATGATTAGAATCTTACTTCATTTTTTTAAAGATTTATTTATTTATGCATACAAAAACTGGGGTGTAGGCCAGAGATGTGGTGGGCGGAGGTGGTAAGAGGATTCACCACAGACATAGTGGGAAGCAGAACAGGCAAATCGACTGAAATATACTGCTGAGGGGAGCAGGTGAGACAGGAGAGGTCTGCTGTGCCATGTGGGCCAGTTCCCTGGTGATAGCTTGATAGCGTGGAGACGTTAACCCCTGTGCCAACAGAAAGGGCCTAGACTCTTATTTTAAATACTTTAAGTGGCATCTGACAATGCAAAACAACCTCATTTGGACTCTTTATAATTAAACAGATAATAGGCTTGAAGCTTCAGAAAGCACAATAATGGCTCAGGGATTTGTGAAACTCCTACAGTGACAATGCCTCGTTCTAAGTACAGGTACATTGTGTTGGGGAAGATGTCATAGCATCATCATATTCACAAATTAGAACATCAAGACACATTCAGAATTTTCAAAATCACATTTAAAAAAACACATCTCCATATTGTGTGTATGTGTAATTTTAACATCCACAACCATGAACTTAAAAGAAAATAAACCTTCTATTATATTGATACAATATTTCAAAAGATTTTATAAAACTCATTTTCCTCATCTAACTTTAAGCAAAATAAGAAAATGCCCACCATTTTCAATAAACTTCAGAAAACACCTAGCATCTGATAGGCATTAATCCATTTAGTGAATGAGAAAGCCTACTTCCTGACAGAGGGATGGGGTATTATATCCTACCCATGCTGACACTGGCCTTCAGTTTAATCGTGCCTTGCCTTTTACCTCCTAATAATCATCTAATAATCATTTTTAAATGGTTAAGCACTTACCATAATGTGATTGAAATGCCTGCGGTTTGACAACCTGATTACAGTCGTTACACACCACCAGGTAGAAATCATCGTGGGCTGGACAGAGACCAAATATTGGCATGTCTGCAACAAAAAAAGAGAGACGTCACTCACTCATTTAGTTCTGATGAATATGAAATCTGAGGTGGTGGTACTTTCTAAAGGAACTGTCCTATAAAGTACACAGGAAAAAATATTACCTCACTTTAAAAGGAACTGATGTGGCATACCGAGACTCTTGAGAGAAATCAAATGAAGCTTACAGAAATACCTTTACAAAGGGTTAAAATACAATGCATCAAAAATCATTAGTACGAGGTGAAACAGACAACTCTATTAAAATGCAAACAATGAATACAGTCACACAAGAAAGCAACTTCAGATGAACTCCACTCCACCAAGGGTGATGGGAAGAATCTGCAGCAATATAAAATGCTTAGCAATTCACTAAACTGTACCATCTAATGGTTTTATTTAACTATGCATTCTAGTCCAGCCACCTGATCTCTAAATTCTATGTAACACTTATTAAAGAAAGCAGAGGTTTCTCTAAAGAGTAAAACTGCTGGTTTCATTCATGTGATACAAAGAAAATTATATTTATACTCTTTTTAGGTTATAACAACCTCTAGTCCTTTTGCTTATATACCGATGACTAATGGACAGAGCTGGAACTTTAGTACAAATACAGCATTGCGCACGTTAATCTGAGTTCCGTTACTAGAATAAGACAATATACACTGCAGTTGCTTTTTGTCATAGTAGTAACTGAACACAAATATGAAACTAAGCAATCTGTACATACAGAAAACTGGAAAAATAAGTTAATACCTGGTAATACATGGTTAACTAAAAAATTTTAACCATGAACAATTAGCAATAATCCAGGGAAAAGAGTCAACAGTTTAAATCCTAGATCTTTTTAGGTTCAGAATCTAAATCTTTTAGTATTTCAAAATTGGTGACTTTAAGTGTTTACTGCTGTTTACACTAGAGTATCTACAATAAATGAATAATTAGAGCATTTCAATTACACAAATATTTCAATCACTAAAAAATCAAGTTTAAAAGAGGAACAGTGGTGGTGTGTGTGTGTGGGGGGGGGTGTCCGAAAAGTTACTTTCTTTCCTATGAGATTTAATTTCACATTTTCTCCAGCTTGGATGATTTTAGTGGTTTTAAAGGCAAAAGAAATGTCCTAAGGAGATGTAAAGTTACGATAATCTCTACAATATCAAATTACTGATCTGATATCTACACACAGCTATAACACAGATTATCTTACAGTTTCCATTTCATTGAATTTCAGATAGCTACTATGAATCTGAAATACACCAGGGACCAACATGATTCTGGGATGCAGCAGTTTCTATGTGCTATCTCTCATTCTCTCCTCACAGCCACCCAGATAGATATTATTATATCTCCACTCAAGGAAAATGACTCTGAGAGGTGTCTGAGAGCTGGGATTTGATTCTAAAGAATAGCAATGTCTTAGATTTAGTTCCTCTTGAAGACAGCAGAACAATGATTTCTAAAATTCCTTCCAGATTCTAACTCCAAAAAGTTGCATTGTCAGGGCTGAACATCTTTGACTGGATGAACAGATTAGATAACGTAAGAAGCTTCTAGTAGAGTCCTGACTACTGTGACTAAGCTTAATAATTTAACGAAAAGAAAGAGCCAAACAATGTGCTATTTTCCTTGAAAGCATGCCCACACTGAGTTAAAAATAGTATATGTGGGAGAAGGGGAAAGGTTACAGTCAAGTAATGCTCAACAAGTAATAAGCCATTTTCCGTAGCTACCATTTCTTGACATGGTATTTCATCTAAAAGAATGAAAATATAAAGTAGTTTACCTGAAGTTATATATACCCCTGGGCTAAATGCCTCCAATGAATAATTAAGAAGAAAATCTGAATTATAGAAATGGCTTAATTTTCAGTTTACTATACAGCTGAAAAGTATGAAATGTTTCAAGTATAAAATCAACAGTTTCATTATAAAATAAACTCAGTTTTATTAACTGAGTAGTTAAAACATTATTAAAATTAAGTGGTTTCATTTTAGATTTAGGCCTATGCAATATACTGGTTTGTGTGTTTTCCCCATAGCATTCAGTATTAAGCAACACTGTTTATTTAGCCAGGTATCAGATACTTCTGGGGACTGCCCTCTAAGCCCTTAAAAATAATGCAATGTAAAATATGAAAAATCATACCAATCCTCTCAAGTAATAAGAATTCAATATGCCACAATGGTATTTATGTAGAAAATTGTTCTGCGTGGTGAAAGAAACTATCACTAAAACATAAAGACATCCTACTGAAGGGGAGAAAACATTTGGACACCATACATTTAACAAGGGGCTGTTATCCAAGATCTATAAAGAACTCACACAACTCAACAAAAAGAAAACAACCCAATCAAAATTAAGAAGCACTAAATAGAAACGTCTCCACAGAGGATATACAGAAATGCTCATCATTACTATCATCAGGGAGATGCAAATCAAAATCACAATGACACTATCTCACACCTGTGAGAATGGCCCATATCAGAAAAACCAGAAACTGGTGTTGTCAAGGTTGTGGAGAAAAAGTAGCCCTCACTTACTGCCAGTGAGAATGTCGACTGGGCCAGCCCCTATGGAAACAGCATGAAAGTTTCTCAAATTATTAAAAATAGGCCACCATATAGTCCAATTCCTCTCCTAGGTATCTACCAAAGAATCGTTACTTTGATCCTTTTGTGAGACTTAAAAAACATTAACAATAAAGCTGAGAGGATAGGTGTCATTCTGGAAGGGGCCAGGAATTGATATTTCCTAGTATCAATTTGAAAACTTTCAAATTTCTCAATAACCTAAGCTGGTTTGCAATTAATGAGATAACCATAACTGATAAATAACTAACATACACTGAAGAGCCTACTTTGGGCCCAGCCCCATGTGAAACACTTTATATAGGATTGGTCTACAATATAATCCTTTTACTGATGGAGATGTGAACTTCCAGGGCGAAAGCACAACCAAGACTCACTGAGATTTGCACTATTTGTTGAGATCAGTTATTAATTGCTTATTAGCACATCACACATGTTGTACACACATATGTGCATGCACACACAGAGAATCATGTAGAAAGAAACACTGTACACTTGAATACAGTTTGTGCAACCCTATGAAAATCGAGATCTACTGTGAAAATTTAAAGCAGCTTTAGCTTTCTAAATTCTTTCGAGTATCTCAATTTGGAAGTAAGCTAGAGAATACAAAATAAATTATATAAAATATCTTCTTCAGGGAAAAAAATAAGGGAATTCTGTATCCCTTTTCTGCACTGGGACATTCCAGAGGCTTAGCAACAAGAACAGAGTGTAGAATGTTATGGCAACAGGGAAAATGAAATAATTTTTTTGTGAGAATATGTATGTTTCTGAATATTTTTGAAGCATTAAGTTCACAATTAGTTCATCTCCAAATTACCATATGAAACCTGCCTAAGTGCAAGTAGGGAAAAGCTTGACTTGCAATGCAATTAAATAATTGAACTGACAAAATGAATTCTTGCTGAGTTAAAAAAAAATGTTTATCAAATACACTTCTAAAATATATAACTTAAAAAATAAAGTTTCAAAACTGTACTTGATCCCATAGACTTTGAACTAATTTGAAAGAACGGATTTTACTGTACATAAGTGCTAAATCTCTTTCAGGAATCAGAGTCATTCTGAACTTTCAATTAGCGAGTGGCCCAGCACCCACATCTAGGCCATCATTTACTTTGGAGACCCCAAGTCAGCATACTAAGGAATGATTGGATTTATGCAGATGGGGACATGAACACATGGGTGCAAAACCTTCAGTCACATGCAGAATGAAGGTCCTCTGTCCAAATTCAAACCCTGAACAGGGCAGTATATATGCCGGTACATTGGTGCTACTATGCCTTATTTGAGTACTGAGATCACCACCAGCAAAACCTGAATGTTGTAGCAAAACATTTCATTTTTGCAATACCCTGTGTGCCTCATTTTTCACACACTCCCAAATTTCTATAAGCCAATGACTCTCAAATTTCTACTTCGTGAGCTCTGTCTGGGCTCACACATCCAGCTATCTACTTAGTCATTGCCATCTGGAGGTCTAATAGAGGTCTCACATGGAACAGGAAGTTCCAAAAGAACCTCACTCTCCATTCTGCCCTGTCCCCTCTTCTGGATAAAAGGAACTATACATCCCCTAATCAAACTAAAAACCACAGGTGTCATCTTTGACTCCTCTTTCCCTCCTGACACCAGGCCACCAGTGGGTCTGGTCAGTTCTGCTCTAAAACCTCTGTCTACTTGTCTCCATTTTCTCTGCCATCACTATTCATCTGTCACCAGCACCTTTCCAATGGACTATGGAAAAGTCTCACAGGTGGTCTACAATTCCTTCTGTACAGATGCCAGAGTGAGTCTTTCAAGCACATTTGTTTACAATTCTCCAGTGATTTCCCTCTTGGAATAAAATCCCTGCCCTTGTCACAGCCTCCAAGATTCTACCATATGTTTGTCCACCACGGTCTCTCTATTCCCTTATTCTCTGCTCCTCTCATTTTTGCTTATTCTGTTCCAGGCACACTGATCCCCATTTTCTCCCTTCAGAAACCTAAAAGCTTTCTCATTCGGGATCTTTTGCTCTTTGCAAGATGTTTGGTACAGTCTACACATCAGGTGTCTGCTCAGCTGTCATCTCTTCAAAGGACTGCTCCCTCTCCTGCTCAATCTGTTATTCTTTATCACGGGTATTTTAAGCAGAGCAGCTAACAGTGTGGGACACACTCTATCACACTGAATCCAATGTGACTTTGGGCAAGTTCTGTCACCTTTCTGAACTTCAGTCTCTTAATTTGTCAAAAGGTGATGATCATTCTACCTAATTCACCAGGTACTTCACAGGGTAGAAAGTTAACAGATGTAAAGCCTTAGGTTACCTGGCCCTAGGAAGTACTCACTCAATATCCTTCCCCTATAGCTTGTGAAACAGGAGTCACAAACCCCCACTATATTGCTCAGAAAACCAAAGTATATAGACAA